TTTTTTGAAGCAGATTTGTATGTATTTTTTCTTCCTGATTTGTTTTTAGCTATTTGTGTAGTGATTGTGTAGTTATATGTAGATAATATGCAGATTAATGCTTCATTTTTATGCAGTTTACTAATGTGAAATAATTTATCATTTTGTGCAGAATGGACATTATTTTGCCCCACATAATGTGGATTATGGGGTGCTTAGATTCCACACTTTGTGTGATCCTAGCATTCCTAGCCAGATAAAAGAGTTATTGTCTCCAAGTGCTTTAAAACTTTTTAAAAACACTTGTTTTGGTTACTTACTGTCTTTCCCCTCCATTTGCATGCAAAACCAAGCTATTCATCTTCTGATGAAGTATGAACTGTCTAAGTCTAATGAATCATTTTTTTCAGTCCACTTGAAGGGGGGAAATTGAATTTTTCATTGAGAGAGTTTGGTTTAATTACCGGTTTAAATTGTGTGAATCAGTTTACAGATTATGTATATACTTCTAGTTATGTTAGCAAGTTAATGAATAGCTATTTTCCTAACAAAAAAGAGAGTAGAAAAGTGGTATTTGAAAAACATAGTAACAAATAGATCTTGGGTAAACGATGAGGATGCAGTCAAGTTGTGTATTCTTTATCTTTTGGAATTTTTTGTTTGCCCTTATGACAAAGACCATGTGTCTTATATAGACCACTTTAGGTTCGATTTGGTAGAGTCTGGTCAGTTTGAGTCATACCCATGGGGTATTAAATCGTTCAATCAGGTTATGGAATCCGTTAGGCATCGTCTAAATCCTCGTGTACATTCTTATCTCATACGGGGATGCTCATTAGCCTTGCAAGTGTGGCTTTATGAGTGTTGCTCGACTATCAGCACGGAGCTTACTACGAGGTATTCTGACTCAATACCTCGCATATTAAAATGGTCAGCTACTAAGGGGCAGATTTGGTTAACTGCCTTTGAAGAGAAGATGATCAAGTCTGAGTGGATTAAGGTATTTTTTTCAGTTTTATATGTTGCTACATTTACCTTCATAATATCTATAATTAGTCTACATTTTCTGCCTTAGTGGAACTAACTGTTTTTTTCATCATTCAGTTCACAAGCATGACTGAATCTGGAGAAGAGATTGGAGTGCTTACTCTGCCAAACAAGATTGAGTATGAAGATGAACAAGGTGCACAATCATCAGAGGTTCCAAATGTTGATTCTCCAACATTGGAACCCAAACATACAGATTGTCAAGAGGACAAGGAATCTGTTGCTAAGAAGCTCAGGAAGCTAGAAAAGGGAATTGAGCAGGTAATATTATTAACTACAATATATTTACATATTTGCTACAATTTATCTATATTTCATAATAATTTATGTAGTATACATTATAGTTAAATTGTAGTATAATTCTATAGTCAGCCTTGTTGGGATTGCACACATTGTAGTTAAATTGTAGTATAATTGTAGCAATTTGTAGACAATTGTGAAAACAATACTGCCTCGTACATAATTAAACTGATTTGTAATTTATTTGAATAAAATTACCAACTAACTATATTTTTAACTTTTAGGTTGATGGAAAGTTAGAGGATTTTAGGAAGGCTGTATTTGAGGAACTCCATGACCTTCAAGTGTTTATAGATGATTCTGTGAAGAGTGTTTTGAATTTGATAAACAGGAGATATGATGTGGATGAGGCAAAGGTAAGAGTTGACATATATTTATATACCAAAAGAAATTATGACATATGAAACAATATACTCAAACTAACATAAAATCTTTAGTTTGCTGGTAGTTCAACCAAAAACAATGACCAACAACAAGGAGTGAACAACCAGCAATTTCAGTTCAATATTGGTGATCAAGTGCATGCAAGCACAAGCAACACAGGTATCTACAAAATACCTACAAATATATACACTTAGTATAAAACTTTATAGAGCATAGTTTTATTATTCACATTTTATCTACAACTTCCTACATATATCTACAACTTTCAAGGCAGCATTATCTAGTATTATTTACCTTTTTTAATTATAAATTGAAGCTGCAGTTTGTCCAGAACATGTTCCAGCACATGTTGACTTATATTCAGAATTTCAAGAAGCAGCCGAGGTAGAACAAGCAGGTATAATATCATACTGTCATTCAGAATAAATAATTATTGTTTATACAATTTTACATTCCTGTTAAGTAAGTTATGTTTTATGTAACAAATATTGAAGATATCAATGCACAGTCCCCAATTCACGGAGTGACTGTAGCAGCTCAGACAGAACAAGTCATTGAGAAACAGCTAAATGAAGGTGAAGATGCACAACATGTGGATGAAGTTATTTCTGAAGGATCAAGCATTGATAATAAGGGTGTGATATTGGATGACTTTGAGTTGCCAGACAACTTAACACAATTGGTTAAATATGGCGAGCCCATACCAAATGAAGCAACCCCTATTCATCCGGGGAGAACCAGGCAACCGGGGAAACATGCACGATCACCTTTCATACCTCTATATAGTTCTGGAGGCAGCAGCTCTATTGGACCTAAATGTTTCTACCTCAAGCACCCCTTCACAACTCTTATAGGTAAAAATGTAGATTCTGATGTGTTAGATAAGTTCAACAAATGGTTATACCACCGTAGTGACAAAGTATATAAGAGGTATGAATGCTTAATTTGACACTTTCATTTCAGCATTTTAAAGTTTAAATATGTAATTCATTCTGTGATTTTTTTTTATTGGACATTTATTTGTTGTTACAAGAGGAAGGCTCCCTTTCCCATAAAGGATAACCAAATCAAGCCTTGGTTAGACCTTGGAGTTGAAAATGTGGATAAGAAGCACTGATTTTATTCCCTTGCTCACCCCGGATAAATCCTCAATGACTCGGTAAGTATCAAAGAATAAATCCACAAGATATATTTTGTCTTCTGTTTTGTAGTATAATTGTAGTTATATTGTAGATATGAAATATATGTGACCATGCCTTTTATTTTAAATTGTAGATATAATGTAGACATTTCTTATAAATGTTGCTCTTATTATTTATAGTGTGATTGTATTTAGGTTGGACCTTATGTATCATATTTGATGATGAATTGTATGTAAAAATTGTATATTTGGTAATTTGGACAGAATTGGTATATCTGTATTTCATGATTGTAGTTAATTTGTAGTTAAATTGTAGAGCAAATTGAAGACTTATAATATTAACTGTAGTTTGAATGTAGATATTATTGAGACCTTATGGTAGTTGTTGTGTTCTATTTGTTGTTGTGTATAGCAGCTAAAGTGTAGCTATTTGTTAGATTATTTGAATTCTGGCTTTGTAGTTTAAAGTGTAGCTGCTTTGTTTATAATTGTAGTTACACTGTAGCTTATAGTAGATTTTATTTTATTTTGCAGCACATTGATGTTATTATGTATTACCTGAGAAAAAGAGGCAAATATGGCCCCAACAACAATAATACTAGGTTTACAACAACCGATTGCTTGTTCAAGTCAAAGATTGAACAAATCTATGAGAAGTTCATAAGTTCTCCACCAGAAAAAAAGTATTCGGTTGTTAAACCCGATGATGATGTTGCAGAATATATTCTTGGGTATAGACTTCTTGCTAATGTTGCCTGGGATGAAGTTGACTATGTCATCATGCCCGTGAACATTGTAGAGAATTTCCATTGGTTGTTGGTCGTTTTTGACATAGCGGACAGACAACTTTATGTGTATGATTCCATGGTGTCTTCACACCATCATAATGTTGTTGAATCATGTGTTGATAAGCTTTCAATCATTATCCCTCTGTATTTGTCTTGCACTGGTTTCTACGGGAAGCGTAAAGACATTGACTTCAAGACCACAAAGGCATACATTGAGAAACCAGTTATAGAGCCTCTCAACATACTGTGGATGGTTGCGGAGATTCCACAGCAAAAGGAAGGATCACTGTAAAAAAACTATTCTCTCTTTTTAGATGTTTAATTATTATTTTTTTATAATCATTTGTTAAATAATTAATTTTTTTTGTCTTATGCAGCGATTGTGGTGTATTTGTGGCTGCTTTTGCGGAGTATGTTAGCCTTGGAGATTTGTCAATCCCTTCAGAAGACCTTTCGAATATCGACCAACACCGTAGACGCTATGGAGCTCTCCTATGGGACTATGCTACAAAGAAGCAAGAAGATGGGTCAATCAGTGAAAGTGAGGTTACAGGCAGGCTAGCAAGGAGGAAGGGTGTTGCTGCTTTGAATGAGAAGACTAAAGTCGAGAGAAAGAAGAAATAGTATCTTGTTTTCCTAGTTTAGTTGATGCCAATTTGTAGTTGAAGGAGAATACACTACTTTATGAACAAAATTTTATTTTTTTATTGCAGTATACCTTTTTGTTTTGTTATTTTATCTTTCATTATTAGTTGTTCACTTGAATATAAATTGGTTGTTTACATCACTGTATCTTCATTATATTAAACATGAGTATTTTGATGTTAGAATACAATTTGCCTACAAATAATCTTCACAATATCTACATTTTGGAAACACTCAATGTAGTTATTGTATATAATTTTGTAGTTGTATATGTTCATAATTTTTACGAAATACCTTTAAGTTCTAGGTAATATCTGTATATAACTGTCAGTTGAAGTTAAATTACGCAATAAACAGAAGAAATAAATACTCCAATCCTAGAAATATATTATCCATAATTTATCTACAAATTATTACAAAGACTACAATTTAACTACATTTAATCTATATTTTACCTACAATCTGGAAACACTTTACATTAAAATTACTTTTTTGATATCAGTTGTATTGTAGATAATAAATATTAAAATTTAATTACATTATATCAAAGACAAATTTAGATGCCTGACACAATACATAAAAGCATATTAAGCATACATAAACAAATTGTAGTCTACTTCATAATGATCTTTAAAAACTTAAACGATTACACAAAAAATCTGCTAACTTTAACTCACTAACAGTTAGTTTGAATAACTATTCTAACTACATGATATTCATTTCTTCTTGGGCGCATTCTTGCAAGATCTTTTGTTATGCCCTTCACCTCCACAATTTCCACATGACACCTTGTATTTCTTTGACTTTATTTCATCATATGTTTTATATCTTTCCTTTCGATGTCTCCCTGGCTGCCTTTTATCTCCCATCGGTGGATTTACTACCTCATCCAAAATATGTTGTGGCACATTCCAGTTGCTTTCATCAGGAAGAGGATTTACTGGTATTTCATACGTACGCAGAAGGCTCTCCCTTGTGTAATACGGAGAGCAATAGTTTTCATATGTTTCATTCCTGTGCCTTAATGCTGTCAAAGCATGTCCATGGAAGTTCTTCAAGTTGGAATTGGCCACAGCTACATTTTTTGTTTTCTAGACACACAATGTACCACTTCACACCATCTAACACAGTATGTATATGATCTGTTGAAGTCCTCACCTACAATTGTAGAACAAACAGAAAAAATATTATCTCAATCATAAAAATAGATTATCTACAACCTATCTACAAATCATCTACAAATATTCTACACCTTATCTACAACCTACAATTATCTACAATTTGACTACAATTTATCTACAATCTGGAAACATTGCATATTAAGTAATTTATTTTTTCTGCACCAAATAAACAGATCTTACCCTAAGCTTCTGAGATAATGTTCTGTTGTTCTCTAATTCTTTGTTGAATTTGGACCCAAGAAATGTGAAAGTACCCTTCGCCTTCAATAACTTCTCGTTGGTCCAACGTTCTAGCAGTGTTCGCATATACTCTAAAAGGTCAAATATCGGCAGTTCTCTTGCATCTTTTGTTACAACGTTCAACGACTCTGCAATATTTGATGNAGCTTTCAACGACTCTGCAATATTTGATGTCATTGTCCACGTTCTATTCACTGTTGCATGTACTCTTGACCATCTATGATAGCCAATATCATATAAGTAAGATTTCACACACGGGTCTACCTCTTCAATCTTCGACATCCTTTCATTAAATTCATCCAAAGTGTATGACTGTGTTGTAGCAAGTACAATTCATGTAATTGTAGATGACCCTTCTTGAATTTTGACCTTATATTTGTCCAAATATGCCACATGCAAGAGTAGTGTGTCATGCCCGGATAGACAATTGATGTTGCCTTCAGTATACTCTTATTCTTATCTGAAACAACACACATTAAAGGTCTTTCACCATATGCCTGCTTGAATTGCTCAAAGAACCACTTTCAAGATGCGTCGTTTTCAGAATTAACCACAGCATATGTCAAGAGCAATATTGTACCTACATTATTAATTCATAAAATATTAATTGGCAACTTTGAAAATGTATATAAAAATATAAATACATAACAACTACAATATATCTTCATAATATAGACAATGTATCTACATTTCATGTAATAGCTATAAAATAACTACAAAATTACTACAATGTATCTACATTTTATAGACTGCCTACAAAATAACTACAAAATTTTTACACTTTTTACCTGCTGCATCTATGGTGCTTGCTGTCAGCATAATCCCCCTGTAGGCTGACTTTAAGAATGTCCCATCAACCACTACTACTGGCCTACAATGTTGCCAACCACTTATTGATGTACAAATAGCAACAAATGCGTATAAGAAGTATTCATCTGTTGTCTTCTTCAATTTAACAACCGAACCATGATAAGTCTCCTCAAGAATATAAAAATATTTGGGTAATTTGCTGTAGGAGTCAGCCAGATTCCCTCTCAAAAACTGTAAAGCCTTTTCCTTTGCTCTCCATGCTTGCATGTAGCTTAGGTTCACTCCGTGTTCAGATAACATGTCAGTTTGTATGTCCTTTGGTGTGTAAACAGTCTTAGGATCATAATACTTTGGAATGGCCATACTACCAACTACAGCTGCAGTACGTTTGCGCTGTATGAATGTTTCATCCATTAAGGAGCATGTGTGTTGTCGGTTGAAACTCCTTATCTTAAACATTGCGGAATCATTAATTGACAATGCCTTGAAGTGTCATTTACAATTTTCACCAACGCATACAAGCCAGTAGCTACAAAAAAATACAACATTTAATACAGATTATAAATGTAGATGCAACAAAAGGACTGTTTTAACATAAAGTAACATAAACTACAATTTAACTACAATGTAACTACAATTTATCTACAATGTTTAAAAACACATATCTTGAGTAAAACACTGCTTTTAATGATCTTTTCTCCACAAATATCTCTATGCCTTCTATGACTAGATCTTTTAACTCTGAACTGGAACTTGTGCATCACAGAAAAGTGCTTCATTGTAGTAGCTGCAGTTTGCCTGTCCTGATACACTTGTCCTTCTTCAATAGCAGTTTGTGTAGATTCTGTTATTATTTCACTTTGATATTCCTCTATAGCTGGAGAGGATGTCATATTAAGTAACTTTAGGGATCCAGACGAACCTGCATCAAAATAAAGATAAACAGTGTCATTATAATTTTGTAAAATCTTTGTAGATAATTTGTAGATATAGTGAAAATTTTGTAGTCGTCCATTTTAGGATGTCAGGCATTGTAGTTAAATTGTACTATAACTATTGTAATTTATAGAAATTTGTGAGAACAATACTGCTTCGTACATAATAAACTGATTTGTATTTTATTTGACTAGATTTTGTTCTAAACATAGATTGTAGTTTTATTTGAAGACAACATTTTGAAATCAACAATTTCTAATCATAGATTTTAGTTTATTTTGTCGTATAAATGTAGTAACTTTGTAGATAATTTTGAAAACAACATTGCTTTATTCTTTCATTAAACTGATTTGTAGTTTAATTGTAGGTAAATATAGTAATTTTGTAGATAATACCGTAAAACCATAATTCTATGGAATTTTGAACTATACAAACCTGCACTTGTGTTATCGTTGGTGATTTCCAATTCCATATTGAAATCTCGTACACTTATACATAACGGATATGAACCTAAGTTTTTATTCTCCTTTTTGGTCTCCATATACACACGAACCCCCATATCATTCCTAATCTTTATTGGGGGACAATTGTCGTTCACCATGTATTTGATTTCTATAATTTTTTCTGAAGTATCAATCGATAGTTGTTCTGCAATTGTAGAAATCAGAATACTGTAGCTTGCATTCTCATCTAACAAAATGGCATCAACTTCAAAATTTCTAAATCTGCCATAGTTATCCCAATTCTCATTCAATTGTAGCATGATTGCGATTTTGGACATGATTGCGTGTTGTTGCTGATGTATTATTCTAATTTTTTTCGTTTTTTGGATTTCTAGATTGAGAAAAAAAAGATGAAGAACAGATATATGATCGCCAATTTGATTTCTGAAAACGACGAAGAACAGAATATAGCAATGTTGAGTTGTTGAATCTCGAAGATATGTTCTGCAATTGTTGCGAAATCTCCTTTCCGTTTCAAAACTTGAATTTAATGCAGAATCAATCAATCCCAAGATTCGTTCCTGATTTTTCTCGCGTTATTAGGGGAAGATTCTGCCCTATTAATTCCTAATAAACGAATGGTACATAAATTGTAGGAAAAATGTGGACTAGACGGGTAATTTAGATACTATGCACATATTTGGTAATAAAATTCATATATGGTATAAGAAAGGAAAAAATCCCTTTTAAGAGCCTCCAATTAAGCCCAATATCTCATTTGTCGGAGAAGCCTCCAACTAGGCCCAATTATCCATTAGCTGACGAATTGATTTTGAAGTTCCTCAATTATAACAAAAAGTGAAAAGGTTCCTCTAGTGAAGGCTTACCCATCTTGGCCTTGGAATCCAGAAGCTATCGTATTGAATTAACGTCTCTTGGTTCATAGTATTCAGTTTTTTTCTTCAGAAAACGGTGGTATTATGGCCAACTTGCACACAAATTGACTATTCCATAAGACCACCAGCTCACGAATTGAGTAACTTTGGCCACGAAGGCGTAAGTAGAAATTACCTAACTTTTTTGTGCCTAGAATTTGAATATTGATCTCACATAATTTTTATTTAATTCATTAGTCACTAGCCGTACTCTTGGTGCATATTGAAGTTCAACTTTTAAATACTCTAGTCTCCATAATTCATCACAATTTTTCATAACCAAACATGACATCCGTTGCTTATTTCAAACTAAGCCTACGCCACGCCCATGAAAAAATCTTATTTACACTTTGTATTTATACCAAGTTAAATTATCTGTTCATGATTAAGTAATAAATTAAAGTGAAAATACACATCAAATAAATGCATATAAAACAATGTTATCATCGTTCTGCCGTCCAACACTAGATGTCAGTAATCCACTCCTCGTTTAAGTCATGTAGGGACATAATTTTCTTAAGCTTTAATGATGGTAAGCTTGATAAACACCTAGTTCAAATTGCATCACTACAATACTATTTCGTAAGCTCTAATGATGGTTAACTTAACACACACCATCTATTGCATCACTAGAAGAAATATATCATCTGCTGACTTTTAAAACTGCATTAAATGTCTTTAAAGGGCACTAATTATTCATGATTTGATTATCATTTAAATGTCTAGGGATATGGAGTGTCACATGACTTTCATTTAACCAACCGAAAAAAGGAAGAGTATCCCGTCCCGCCTCATTTACATTCCTATTATCTTATCTCCAACTTTCTTTCTCTAACTAGAGAATTGATCCGCGCTTCGCGCAATTATATTTGATATTATAATAGAATTTAAAATAATTATTTATAAAATTAATCCAAATAGTAGAGATAACTTCTTTCTACTTAAAAATGCATATAAGAAACAATTCTATGTATTTATCTAGTCACAAAATACAATATTCTTATCAGAAGTTAGAGCTTAAATGTTGCATTTTCTATCACCAGAACATTTTCATAGGGAAAAAAAAAAGTAAGGAGATTTGTATTTTTGTGTGGGGGAGAGGCATGTGCGTATGGTTTTAATACGCGATTCTTAGTTTAGTTAATATATTAGAAACATGAATGTATTATATGCATTTAATTTGTTCTTTCCACTAAAATAGTAAAAATTTAATAAAAATAAAGTGAAAAGTAAAGAAACCAAAAATAGAAAAGAAAATCTCTTTACAATCTTTTCTTTTATTGATCTTCTTTTTCCTTCCATTTTAATTGCCTAATCTTCCTAGTATTTTTTTCTTTCCTTTTTCTCTCTACTCCTATCTTACACTGCTCTATAAACTATTTTGTCTTTCTTTCCTATTTATTTCTCTTTCCTACAAATGCTCTTTCAATTTACCTCATTAAATTTAATATTTTGGCAATATACTATTCAAAAATCTTAAAGAGGGAAGAAATTTTATATTTTTACCACATTCAATTTAATACTTGGAGTTACTATATATGCAAAACCTTAAATAAAAGAATTGAAAATAATTAAAATTGTTACACTTCTAATTAGGTAGAAGAGAAAGATACCAAAGAGTACCATTGCAGCACAATATTCGATATACAACACACAAAAGCAAAAAAAACAACAATGACTTGAAGATGGAAGTTGCATACGAACTACAAAAATAATGGACAGATAGAAAAACTTGCCAAAATTAATCGTCTATCATTGAACAAATGCTTGCCAAACTTCTTCATCGGCTCCTGAAAATTGATAGAAAAATATTTTTAATATCACCATCAGCATCACCTTAGTCTTCTCCATATCTATATACATAAATATAATCTAATATGTATACGTGTGGATATATCAATATTTGCTGAAATATTTGGTTTCACAACATTTGCTGAAATATTTGGTTTCACTATAACTTTTACAACATTTAATACGAATACTGTTAAAGTGAAAAAGAATTTGAAAACTCACCAGCCATGTTGAAATGAAACCACAGACCATAATATATAGTTGAATAAGAAATTGGGTGGTCAAGTAGAATGAGAAAGATCAAAAGATAAATAACCGATTAAATCCAATTTACTACTCATAATTGTATAATTACTTCTACTAACAA